GAAGAATCTGGGGCTGAAGACAGCAGGCCTCTATGGGGCTAGCCATCCCCACACTTGAAGTGTTCCCTCCCCACCCCAGGCCATGTGACAGAACCAGGTCTTCAAAGCCCTTCTGAAGGCCAGGAGTGAGGGGGCCAATCGCACCCCCGGGGGCAGATTATGCTATTAGGCCTAGCAGGAGAGTCATGCCCCAGGTCCCATCTATCAGAGTGTCATCTGGCAAGACCCAGGAAGAGAGCCTTTTCTGTCATGGCCCCTGCCCTTTGGAACATCATCCCCTTGGAGATTAGATTAGCCCTGACCCTGTTGGCCTTTCACAAGGCCTTAAAGACATGGTTGTGTCACCAAGCTTAGAAATCTGGATGTGTGGCACAGCTTGTTCAGTGGTTGTGTTAATTTGTTGCTGGTGGGGCAGGGAGTTGGTTTTTTTACCTCGCTTGACAATTATGGACATTTATTGTTATGTGTTGTTATATAGTGTTTTTAACTGTTGTTAGTCCTCTAGAGTCATGAATATGAGATGGGCAGCAATATACAGGTAATCCTCACTTAGCAACTGGCTCAGACAGAGACTGTTTACAGTTATGCCAGTGCTGAAAAAGTAACTTTGCGACCAGTGCCCGCATTTACAACCTTCGTAGCAACTCTCACTCTCAGTCGTATGTTCGCCATTACAGCCAGTTAGTATGTGTTGTCCTGTGTAAAATCATAAGCACAGTCACGCTCATGTGATTTTTCACTTAATGACCCCTTCGCCTAACAACCGAGTTGCCGGCCCCAGTTGTGGTCGCTAAACGAGGACTACCTGTAAATTGAAATAAATAAGTAAAATCAATTCCATCAACTTCCTTCAGAGAAAGAGGTTATTGACGTAGGAGCCACAGATAATTGTTCTTGAACTTCTAAGCCCAGTAGAATATCAGGAGTGGTAATGACATCTGGATCAAATAAAACAAATACTTAAGCTGTATATATTGCTAAGAAGCCCTCTGAGGCAAATGATTTTTTTTTTTTTTTAGTTCTGCAAAAGTTTTAAAAAGTTTCTTCAGAGCTGAGTTGATCCTGGATGGCATTTTAAGAGGGCCAGTTTACCCAAAAGACAGTATTAGATGCTAGGCCAGTGTTTCTCAACCTTAGCAACTTTAAGATGAGTGGACCTCAACTCCCAGAATTCCCCAGCCAGCCACAGAGAAGTTGTTAAGGTTGAGAAACACTGTGCTAGACATTTAGATAACTTAGATTTTTCCATAAACACAAGCTTCTTATGAATAAACATTCAAAGTTATGGGTGCAACCCAATATTTCCCATATATATCTTGCAGTATTAAGTGTACTGTACATATGAAACCGATCCCCACACAAACAGGGATCCCAATACTTGTCAGAATTTCAGTTTCAGTGCGGAATAATAATAATAATGATGATAATTCCCAAGTGCAGCCCAAAGAAGAGCTAAAATGTTTACATTTTTAATGCCAGACAATAATGCTCAGTGATGGGGGGGGCATTCAAACCACCTTTCTTAACGGATAGCTATAATATTCTCAGTGAGAATAGGATGTCCTTGTCACAAAATTTATCAATTATGTTGTACACTTATTTAAAATAATGTGATGGAAATACATGGAAAAGCCCCTCAAAATAGCAATCAAGCCTTGAGTTTTATTTATTGTAATCACATTTATCTTACTTACACAATACACAAAATACACAAGAGAATTTTAAACCATCTGTCTTGATCTTTTACTGACATCTCAGTATAGGGTAACTTCAAGTTTCCCAGCCGAGGAATCTTCTGGTGCCAGGGCAAGCAAAGGGGTCAGAAGGTGACCAATGCCACCAAGTGGGATTAACACCAGTTCAAAAAGTAACCAGACATGATTCCAAACTCATGTGCTAATGAAATAAAATTAGAAACAGACAAGTGTACTGAAAGCAGTGTGAACAATACGTCCACTGATTAAAAGTTTTGTTGAGCTGTTCCCTATGGAACTATTCAGCATGTGAGTTGGATGGTGCAAGATCTCTTTCTCTCTCTTGGATGAGTAGAATCTCCACAGCTATAATATTTAGTATCTATAAATAGGTGAGATGGGTGTTGTAACAAAAAGCCTTTATGAAAATGATTCGCTTTTCTAAGGGTCTTCACAATGTTTCTGAACTGGCAGGCTGAGTACATACATCAATGATCCTTTTAGCCAGCTTCATTTCTTCTTAAATCACAAAAAGGGCAATGGTTGAATAAACCAGCACTGATTCTCAATTCCTTCGGGTTAGGCCTATACTCAGCTGTTGATACCTCCTATTCCTTCTCTACTCCTTAAGCAACAGCCATCGTTGTTCTGAATCCATGATTAAGATCTGGCCCTGTTATGATCTGCTCCAGCTTTGTCAACCTTGTACGTGGCAGAGTTCTTGGACTTTTACTTCCATATTCTCCCAACCAGCTTGAAGTTGAAATAGTCGTTATTCGGAGAGGCAATGCTATAGGAGATCCAACAGAGTTGCATTCTAGATTGGGCATGGAGCATTGTGGGGGTGGGGAGAGACTAATATAAAGTGATAGACTAGCTTTGTGCTGGAACTCCTCATGGTTGTGTTCAGGTATGATAGCAGGAGACCACAATCTGTTTAACCTGGTTGCTGAATTAACTCATTTGCTGGCTTTACACAATCCACTGAACTATAAATTAACCAAATGAGTTTGCACAAGAAGCTGAGCTAAAAAACCAACCAAAGTTAACATTAAGCAAGGCTAACATGCCTTTGCAAATACATGTGGAAATGCATCAGCTTAGCTATTACCTAGTTAAGTCGGTAGGGCAAATACATCTGACTGTCATTCAGTGGACATCAACTTCTTCACTGAATTTTTGAAAGCCTTTGCAGACACAGGTATTCCGCAAGGAAATGAGATGCTGTCACTAATCTGCTTTGCTCTACATTGCATTTATTAACGTATGCATACTTTATAAAGGTTTTCTAGGCAGCAGCTGCTAAGAAAAAAAAACATTAATGAAATAGTTCTTCCCACTTCCATGCCCAGAGCTGAAAATGCTGCAAGTACTGGGGAAGTGTTTTCAAACTGTAAGCTGGAAAGAAAAGGAAATTCTCTGAAAAACTTCAAGAGTAGATTGTAGTTGGTTCAGCAAACGAGTGGAGTGGCGTCTGTGGAGTGGGCAAGAGGGTTCAGAACGATGAAAGCAGTGTTGCATTGCAAGCCCCACCCTTTTCTATGCG